TCCTCTCCACTCTATGCTCCATGACCTGCTCTCCTCTCCACTCTATGCTCCATGACCTGCTCTCCTCTCCACTCTATGCTCCATGACCTGTTCTCCTCTCCACTCTATGCTCCATGACCTGCTCTCCTCTCCACTCTATGCTCCATGACCTGCTCTCCTCTCCACTCTATGCTCCATGACCTGCTCTCCTCTCCACTCTATGCTCCATGACCTGCTCTCCTCTCCACTCTATGCTCCATGACCTGCTCTCCTCTCCACTCTATGCTCCATGACCTGTTCTCCTCTCCACTCTATGCTCCATGACCTGTTCTCCTCTCCACTCTATGATCCATGCCCTGTTCTCCTCTCCACTCTATGCTCCATGACCTGCTCTCCTCTCCACTCTATGCTCCATGACCTGTTCTCCTCTCCACTCTATGCTCCATGACCTGCTCTCCTCTCCACTCTATGCTCCATGACCTGCTCTCCTCTCCACTCTATGCTCCATGACCTGCTCTCCTCTCCACTCTATGCTCCATGACCTGCTCTCCTCTCCACTCTATGCTCCATGACCTGCTCTCCTCTCCACTCTATGCTCCATGACCTGTTCTCCTCTCCACTCTATGCTCCATGACCTGCTCTCCTCTCCACTCTATGCTCCATGACCTGCTCTCCTCTCCACTCTATGCTCCATGACCTGCTCTCCTCTCCACTCTATGCTCCATGACCTGCTCTCCTCTCCACTCTATGCTCCATGACCTGCTCTCCTCTCCACTCTATGCTCCATGACCTGTTCTCCTCTCCACTCTATGCTCCATGACCTGCTCTCCTCTCCACTCTATGCTCCATGACCTGCTCTCCTCTCCACTCTATGCTCCATGACCTGCTCTCCTCTCCACTCTATGCTCCATGACCTGCTCTCCTCTCCACTCTATGCTCCATGACCTGTTCTCCTCTCCACTCTATGCTCCATGACCTGCTCTCCTCTCCACTCTATGCTCCATGACCTGCTCTCCTCTCCACTCTATGCTCCATGACCTGTTCTCCTCTCCACTCTATGCTCCATGACCTGTTCTCCTCTCCACTCTATGCTCCATGACCTGCTCTCCTCTCCACTCTATGCTCCATGACCTGCTCTCCTCTCCACTCTATGCTCCATGACCTGCTCTCCTCTCCACTCTATGCTCCATGACCTGCTCTCCTCTCCAATCTATGCTCCATGACCTGCTCTCCTCTCCACTCTATGCTCCATGACCTGCTCTCCTCTCCACTCTATGCTCCATGACCTGCCCTCCTCTCCAATCTATGCTCCATGACCTGCTCTCCTCTCCACTCTATACTCCATGACCTGCTCTCCTCTCCACTCTATGCTCCATGACCTGCTCTCCTCTCCACTCTATGCTCCATGACCTGTTCTCCTCTCCACTCTATGTTCCATGACCTGCTCTCCTCTCCACTCTATGCTCCATGACCTGCTCTCCTCTCCACTCTATGCTCCATGACCTGCTCTCCTCTCCACTCTATGCTCCATGACCTGCTCTCCTCTCCACTCTATGCTCCATGACCTGCTCTCCTCTCCACTCTATGCTCCATGACCTGCTCTCCTCTCCACTCTATGCTCCATGACCTGCTCTCCTCTCCACTCTATGCTCCATGACCTGCTCTCCTCTCCAATCTATGCTCCATGACCTGCTCTCCTCTCCACTCTATGCTCCATGACCTGCTCTCCTCTCCACTCTATGCTCCATGACCTGTTCTCCTCTCCACTCTATGCTCCATGACCTGCTCTCCTCTCCACTCTATGCTCCATGACCTGCTCTCCTCTCCACTCTATGCTCCATGACCTGTTCTCCTCTCCACTCTATGCTCCATGACCTGTTCTCCTCTCCACTCTATGCTCAATGACCTGCTCTCCTCTCCACTCTATGCTCCATGACCTGCTCTCCTCTCCAATCTATGCTCCATGACCTGCTCTCCTCTCCACTCTATGCTCCATGACCTGCTCTCCTCTCCACTCTATGCTCCATGACCTGCTCTCCTCTCCACTCTATGCTCCATGACCTGCTCTCCTCTCCACTCTATGCTCCATGACCTGCTCTCCTCTCCACTCTATGCTCCATGACCTGCTCTCCTCTCCACTCTATGCTCCATGACCTGCTCTCCTCTCCACTCTACGCTCCATGACCTGCTCTCCTCTCCACTCTATGCTCCATGACCTGCTCTCCTCTCCACTCTATGCTCCATGACCTGCTCTCCTCTCCACTCTATGCTCCATGACCTGCTCTCCTCTACACTCTATGCTCCATGACCTGCTCTCCTCTCCACTCTATGCTCCATGACCTGCTCTCCTCTCCACTCTATGCTCCATGACCTGCTCTCCTCTCCACTCTATGCTCCATGACCTGCTCTCCTCTCCACTCTATGCTCCATGACCTGCTCTCCTCTCCACTCTATGCTCCATGACCTGCTCTCCTCTACACTCTATGCTCCATGACCTGCTCTCCTCTCCACTCTATGCTCCATGACCTGCTCTCCTCTCCACTCTATGCTCCATGACCTGCTCTCCTCTCCAATCTATGCTCCATGACCTGCTCTCCTCTCCACTCTATGCTCCATGACCTGCTCTCCTCTCCACTCTATGCTCCATGACCTGCTCTCCTCTCCACTCTATGCTCCATGACCTGCTCTCCTCTCCACTCTATGCTCCATGACCTGTTCTCCTCTCCACTCTATGCTCCATGACCTGCTCTCCTCTCCACTCTATGCTCCATGACCTGCTCTCCTCTCCACTCTATGCTCCATGACCTGCTCTCCTCCCCACTCTATGCTCCATGACCTGCTCTCCTCTCCACTCTATGCTCCATGACCTGCTCTCCTCTCCACTCTATGCTCCATGACCTGCTCTCCTCTCCACTCTATGCTCCATGACCTGCTCTCCTCTCCACTCTATGCTCCATGACCTGTTCTCCTCTCCACTCTATGCTCCATGACCTGCTCTCCTCTCCACTCTATGCTCCATGACCTGCTCTCCTCTCCACTCTATGCTCCATGACCTGCTCTTCTCTCCAATCTATGCTCCATGACCTGCTCTCCTCTCCACTCTATGCTCCATGACCTGCTCTCCTCTCCACTCTATGCTCCATGACCTGCTCTCCTCTCCACTCTATGCTCCATGACCTGCTCTCCTCTCCACTCTATGCTCCATGACCTGCTCTCCTCTCCACTCTATGCTCCATGACCTGCTCTCCTCTCCAATCTATGCTCCATGACCTGCTCTCCTCTCCACTCTATGCTCCATGACCTGCTCTCCTCTCCACTCTATGCTCCATGACCTGCTCTCCTCTCCACTCTATGCTCCATGACCTGCTCTCCTCTCCACTCTATGCTCCATGACCTGCTCTCCTCTCCACTCTATGCTCCATGACCTGCTCTCCTCTCCACTCTATGCTCCATGACCTGCTCTCCTCTCCACTCTATGCTCCATGACCTGCTCTCCTCTCCACTCTATGCTCCATGACCTGCTCTCCTCTCCACTCTATGCTCCATGACCTGCTCTCCTCTCCACTCTATGCTCCATGACCTGCTCTCCTCTACACTCTATGCTCCATGACCTGCTCTCCTCTCCACTCTATGCTCCATGACCTGCTCTCCTCTCCACTCTTTGCTCCATGACCTGCTCTCCTCTCCACTCTATGCTCCATGGCCTGTTCTCCTCTCCACTCTATGCTCCATGACCTGCTCTCCTCTCCACTCTATGCTCCATGACCTGCTCTCCTCTCCACTCTATGCTCCATGACCTGTTCTCCTCTCCACTCTATGCTCCATGACCTGCTCTCCTCTCCACTCTATGCTCCATGACCTGCTCTCCTCTCCACTCTATGCTCCATGACCTGCTCTCCTCCCCACTCTATGCTCCATGACCTGCTCTCCTCTCCATTCTATGCTCCATGACCTGCTCTCCTCTCCACTCTATGCTCCATGACCTGCTCTCCTCTCCACTCTATGCTCCATGACCTGCTCTCCTCTCCACTCTATGCTCCATGACCTGTTCTCCTCTCCACTCTATGCTCCATGACCTGCTCTCCTCTCCACTCTATGCTCCATGACCTGCTCTCCTCTCCACTCTATGCTCCATGACCTGCTCTCCTCTCCACTCTATGCTCCATGACCTGCTCTCCTCTCCACTCTATGCTCCATGACCTGTTCTCCTCTCCACTCTATGCTCCATGACCTGCTCTCCTCTCCACTCTATGCTCCATGACCTGCTCTCCTCCCCACTCTATGCTCCATGACCTGCTCTCCTTTCCACTCTATGCTCCATGACCTGCTCTCCTCTCCACTCTATGCTCCATGACCTGCTCTCCTCTCCACTCTATGCTCCATGACCTGTTCTCCTCTCCACTCTATGCTCCATGACCTGTTCTCCTCTCCACTCTATGCTCCATGACCGGCTCTCCTCTCCACTCTATGCTCCATGACCTGCTCTCCTCTCCACTCTATGCTCCATGACCTGCTCTCCTCCCCACTCTATGCTCCATGACCTGCTCTCCTCTCCACTCTATGCTCCATGACCTGCTCTCCTCTCCACTCTATGCTCCATGACCTGCTCTCCTCTCCACTCTATGCTCCATGACCTGCTCTCCTCTCCACTCTATGCTCCATGACCTGCTCTCCTCTCCACTCTATGCTCCATGACCTGCTCTCCTCTCCACTCTATGCTCCATGACCTGCTCTCCTCTCCACTCTATGCTCCATGACCTGCTCTCCTCTCCACTCTATGCTCCATGACCTGCTCTCCTCTCCAATCCACCCCACTCCCTCATCGTCCTTCTACCCCTCCCACCGCCCCTCTTCCTACCTGCCCCTCCCACCGCCCTTATTTCTGCCTACCCCTCCCACCGCCCTTATTTCTGCCTACCCCTCCCACCGCCCTTATTTCTGCCTACCCCTCCCACTGCCCCTCCCACTTCCCTTTCATGGGCCTGTGCCGACGTGCTCCTGTGTGTGTGCATGCATCGCAGGCTCGACTGGTCAGGCGGCAGCAGCAACTTTGGCGTGGGGCTGCCCCCGCATGAGAAGAACGGCGACAAATGGGACATGTGAGCGGGGGGGGAGAGGGGGAGAGACAGGAGGGGGGGGCAGGAGGAAGAAGGTGGAGGATTGGGGAGAAGGAGAGGACTTGGATAGCAGGGAAGGAAGGCAGGCGGCCATCACTTGTGGCAGTCCCTTTTGTGGCTATTTGCTCTGAAACCAGCCCCTTTTCTGCCTTGAGGCAGCATGTGCTACCGCATTGCACCGCACTGCACCGCGCTGTTCCATTCCACCTTCCTTCTGTCCCCTCTGCCACACATAGGGAACTGGGGAGGGAGGAATACTTGGGTGTTGAATGTTTGTGTGCTCAAGGTTTTCTGTGTGCTCTTTTTCCTGCATTTGACCTCCTCTCCTGTGCATGCACATCCCCACACGCCTCCTCTCAGGATGCGTCCGCTCCTGGCCAACCAATCGCTGCGTCCCACATCAGCAGACATAGGTGCCACGTCACGCTACCTGCGCATGCTGCTGGCTGTGCGCTACTCCTCGCCGCTCTTCCGCCTGCCCTCTCTGGAGCTCGTTCAGGTGCGCTGGGGGGGGGGGGGGAGAGTGCTGGGGGAGAGGGCCTGGTAGGTCAGGTGACAGAACCAACTGTCAGGTTTCCTCTTTGAAGCTCGTTCAGGTGCGCAGGGAGACAGGGACAGTCAGGTGACCAGAGGCCAGTGATTTCTAGCCCTTGTTAGAGTTAATGCTCGGACAGCACCGGCATTCACTGGGGTGTTTTAGTTTCCTCACAGACGGGGTGAGGTGATCCGCTCCCAGGTTTGATGACAAGACCATCTCAGGTCAGAGCATGCACTCTCGGCTCTGCTCAGCCATGCTGAATGGCAGCGACATGGCTTGTTTTTAGGCCAATCGTTTCTGCTCCGCATCTCCTCCCTTGCGTTCAGCCTGTGTTGCCTCTTGCCTTTGCTCCCCCGTGCCGTCACCCTTCCACTCCTCCCCTGCCTTCCCATGCCCTCGCCCTTGCCCACCCTCCCACAGGAGCGAGTGCGATTTCTCAACGTGGGCCCCACAGCGCTGCCAGGGGTGATAGTAATGAGTGTGACTGATGGCGACGATGGCTCGGGCATGGCCCAGCTGGACTCCAGGTGAGCTGCCCCGCGCTCACCAGCAGCATGTGAGTCAACTCAAACCAGAAGGAGCCCAGGGCGAGCGCAAGGTGAGACACAACAGGGCGCAGAGCAGAGATACTGTGGCCGGTCAGAGCAGTCTAAGCCTCTAAGATGTGCTTTTAGCCGTGTTGTTGTTGGGTCTCTCTGCTTCACATGATCATCATCCGCCTCTCATCTGATTCGATGCATGCATCACGTGGCATGGCATGGGCAGATCGGTGCAGAGCAGTATGTGAAAAGCTAAAATCCATTCCCACCACCACCTCCCCTGAGAAACGTGTTTGGTTGTCCGTCGCACAGCAGCTATATACCCATCACAAATTGATTATTCTAAGACCTCGGATGCACCTTCACTTAATGCGACCTTTGAAACGCGTCTCTCACTCACTCCATGGCAGGTTCCGTATGCTGCTGCTGGTGGTGAGCATGCAGCCCCAGCCTGCCCACCTGCACCTGCCGTCCCTGCTCTCACGCAATCTCGTTCCACACCCACTGCAGGTCAGTGCCTCCCCCTCTGTCCCTCGCCTCTCATCCTCCTATCCCCCTCCCATTGTTCGCCCACTGGGTCTCTCATGCTCCCTCTCACCTCTCCTGTGTCTGTGATCCAGTCGTTTCCGAATGATCGCCTTCCTTTTCCAAGCTCTATCTGCTCCTTCCCTGCACCCCTCTGCACCCCTCTGCACCCCTTCTCACCCCTCTGCACCCCGCTGCACCGCACTCAGGAGCAGCATGGCATGGTCCCATCAGTGCAAGGAGCAGGCCCCTGGTTCCAAGCAGACACGGCCATGCTGACTGTGCCACCACTGGCCGCCCTCGCCCTGGTGGAGATGAGGGAGTGAATGGCGTGCCGTGCGCTCGCGCAGCACACATTCGGATATCCACAACAATATAAATTTATGTTCCTTCGTAAAGGCGTTCAGTTTACGCCTCATTCTCTAATACAATACCTATTTTGGGTTGTATAGGTTGTCTGTCGAGATACACACTTGGTGGGACATGAAATGGAAATACCATTCTACCCCAGATATAAGTGCAGGTGCACCTATCATAAAACCGTATACCTATCTCGATACTCTGGTTTCGTCGAGTCCGCCTGATAAGGAGTCGCGGATGAGAATCGCGCTCAACTCCTTGCCTTTCCCCTCTCAGAATGGCGATTTTGAAATCCCTGATAATTGCCGATTTTAGGAAACAAAGCCAGAATGGAGCTCCGCACCGCCATCTGCTCGCGTGGTTTTTTGTGCTTCGCAATTATACGAGGCGAGCACGACGCACCTCCGAGTCGACATTTCGCCTCGCGCTGAAGCTTCAAGCGAGTCGCACCCGTCACTCCCTCTCACCCCCTCACCCGCAAGCCACGGTTCGTTCCCCATCGTAATCCAGGCTCTCAACATTACTATAAAGTCGGAGTTCGAGTCCGTAGAAAATCATCCAGCGACAATCGGCTTTTCACTCTTCAAACAACTTACTCTTTTTCTCTTGCAATCCGGATTCGTTGTCTCGCTTCCGAATCATGGCCTTCACTCTGACTCGCCGCGTCTTACTCTTAGGTCAGCGTTACAATAACAACCAGTAGTACCACCTCAAAGCGTCAATCTGCGTCGGGTTCGTTGCTTTGCTGACTATGTCCTGACACGTGCTATGTGCACTGGCACTACCCAATGTCCGAAGTCTCTGATTCCATGTAGTTGATGACACAACGCTTGTTACGATGGTGTACAAGCACTTTGATGGCGTTTTCACTGCATGGTAACCTGATCGCCTGTGTTTCCATCGCATGTGTGTGCAGCGTTCTTCGCGGTGCTGGTGGCCGTTGCCTACGCAGACCACAATGATCACAGTCAACCGAAAAAAACTGGTCAGTGCTTCGCGCTTCCTCGTGTTCGTCGCTCTACCCTTTCCTTGACACATTCTCTCATCTCCTCGTCTTGTCGCTCAGCATCGTCTCCCTTTCGAACCGCTGCTCTCCAATCGTCAACTTACACTTCCTCTCGCTCTCGTGACTCTGACAGACACCTTCACGGCGAAGCTGATTGGCGCCAACGAGGTTCCCAAGGGTAACTCCGCGGCTGCCAGGAACGCCGTCAATGACAAAAGCGGCACGGGGCAGATGAAGCTGGGATTCTACAAGTGAGTTCCTCAAAGTTTACATCTGTGACGAGTGAGCTGACGTGTGCATTTCTTTCTACGAGCACGGCAGCAGCAGATACTAAATCCACCTTCCAATGTCATTCCCTACACCCGTGGTGCCACGTGTGTGTGATCAGGAAGAACGACAAGCTGGTGTGGGTGAAGTTTTCAGTGAAGGCGTCAAAGCTGGAGGGCGAGATGCCGCCCACCAAGACGCACATCCACGTGGGCGTCAAGGGGCAGAACCATCACGTGCTGCTCGACCTGCCGTGCAAGTACGAAAAGAAGAGCAACAATGACTGGCGCTGCGAGGGCGTGATTGGGCAGGAGCAGAAACTCTCGGATTCGCAGGTGTCGGATTTCATGAAGATCGCTCATCAGCCGAGTGGGTTCTACGGGAACATCCACACCAAGAAGTACCCTGACGGTGCCGTGCGCGGCCAGTTTTCCATGAAATAACGGGTGAAGTTGATCCAAGTCCAAAGGAATGTCGGGGCCAGAGGCCTAGACTGGAGAATAAAGAATGAGGAGCAGAGAATAACGATGCTGAGGGTCACTTAGGAAGTAAAGAGCACTCCTTGCTCCTCTTGGCAGTGCCTCTCGTGACCCCAGTGATCAATATCAGCAAGCCGTGAGGCATACGGTATGTTTTTTTTTCTCTACACTGCTCTTGTATACTTTGCTTAGCAAAGATAATGGAATTGGAATCCACTCTCTGCACACACGCTCTCCTCTCACACCGGGCAGACACTGTAGCTTGCTCAAGCACCAGCAGCTTGATAACTGCTGTGTCTTTTGACACAGCAACTCTTTATGAAAATCTTTATCATTTGGCATTTAATGAATAAACACACTTGCAGGCAAACAGATGGTACCGTATGATTTCTGAGTACTCTACCATTGGACGGTTCTGGTTTCGCACTCTGTCGGATATTATTTGCATGTGAGCTGTGGCGGTTGCTGCCTTAGACTGCCATCCCGTGGATTGCTCCAACACATCTGCTCACCATCTGCTCACCATCTGCTTCCCCCTCTGTCCTCACTCCTGCTCCCGCTCCTCCTCTCCCTCGCCTGCATCCACCCTCACCACCCAGCACACCCCCCTCTGTACCTTCATCTCCACTCGCCCCAGCATCATCACCCAAGCTTGGACCCACCTTCCCTCCCATGCCCTCCTTCCCCCCCCAAGCCTTCCCTCTCTTGTGCCCTGCCTCCAACCCTCCACCCGCCTCCCTCTCTCCTGCACCACCACCATCCCTATGCCATCTCAGAATTGCCATTTGTGTATGCATGTGTTGGAATAACCAAAAGGTTATTATTGTTGGAAACAATTAACTCTAAGCGCCTCTGTCGTGTCGAAACACCAAGTCAAAAGCGAAGCGAAACATATCGAAGCACTGGCGAGTCAACCCCCGGAGGTTGAGCAGTTGCTGGAGGTTACGCGAAAGTCAAAAGTCAGCGACCTTTGACCTGACAAGTACAGCGCGACAGCAAAGACACACAACTGACTCGTTGCAGAGCTGTTGCCCGAGTCGTCACTGTATCGAACCGCAACAGCAACAGTAAAGTAGTTATAACTGTATCTCTTCATGTTCCATGTACTCTTATATAATCCTGTATCTCGTTGTTTTAATCAATCAACTTTGCCCTCACATACTAGCGCAAGGTGGTTCACAACTCTTTATTAAAACGCTTCCGCTACTACATCAGTCCTACCCAGAGTTCACCCCTGCAAAGATCCTAAGGGCTATTTTCTCAGCCCAACATGGTATGAGAGCTATCAGGGGGAATTCAACTATCAAGACACCTACAACATCAGAAGACATGGCTACTCAGAAGGAAAAGAGTTCCTCTATTGGTTCTCCCGGCACTACTCCTACTCCACCTCCTGCCTCTGGCCTACAGACAGAGGAGGGTACAGCAACAAGACCCAGGGCAACATCCACCGAGACTCCCGCGAATCAACCTGCAGGCTTCGACCAGAGCATGATGGAGAAGTTTTTCTCCTTCATGTCCTTCTACGAGCAACACCAGCAATCGGTACCTGAGCAGTCACACAACAGCAACAACAACAACGACGTGACTCCAATGAGCCTTGATGGTTCATCCTACGCACGTGGAAATCAACAGCAGCAACCTACCTTTGCTCCGTACGAGCCCCAGCGCGGCTCCGTCTGCTTTATGCCACAAACGCAGCCTGCACCTGGACAAGAGAAGACACTGGACGCGCTACAAGTTCAGTCGCAGTTCGCGCACGTCCTAAAGCTGCAGACGACAAGACCTTTCGACGGAAAGGACTTCTTTACCTGGTCATTCGAGTTCGAGCTGATGATGGTGTGAGAATAAGAACAAGGAATGGATTGACTAGGGAACAAGGGGGGTACAAGTAGGAAACCTAGAAGTGTTGTACCCTATAGTGAAACCCCACTACAGCCTAGATAGACTATAGCATATGAGTTTGACACACCCCCATAGGCAAAGTGGGGGAGAACAAGGGGTCACAAGACCAGTCAAGCAAAGCAAAGCAAAGCAAGCTCAGGGTGGATCACAACGTCACCACACAGTCCGAGCACAAAGTCAAAGGCCACAAGGTTAGTTCACATGCAGGGTTATAAAGCAGGGTGAACAAAACAAGACAGTGATCACAACCTAGCAAGGGTAAGCAAGAAGGGCAGGTATATATAGATCACAGTACAAGCAAAGTCAAGAGGTAAGCAAGTGAGGCCAAGTAGGCACAAGACCTAGCATAGTACAAAAACGCTGATGATCACAAGGCTGAAGTGCCTTGGTAAAGATATCAGCAGTGTTGGCCCTAGAGGCCACGTAAGCAAGGCGCAGCTGACCACGCTGCTGCAGCTCACGAGCAAGAAAGTAACGGAGAGCAATGTGCTTCGTTCTGTGCTCCAGTCTGTGCTCCTGACACAAGGCCAGCATGGCCTTGTTGTCGACGTACAGAACTGGAGGAGAACGAGGCGGCTCTCCAAGGTCGGTCAGCAGGTAGGTGAGCCAGCGTAACTCCTGTGCAGCCATGGCCCCTGCGTAGATCTCAGCCTCACAACTGGAGCCGAGAACAGAAGACAAGCGGGTAGACCGCCACGAAACAGAGCCGGAACCAAGGCTGAAGGTGTAACCCTGTGACGACCGCTGCGTAGCCAAGTCGTCAACCCAAGAAGCGTCTGCGTGACCAGTGAGGACCACTGAACTCCGCCCTCCAAGCACTAGCCCCATGCCTGACGTACTGCACAAGTAGCGCAACACCCTCTTAGCTGCATCCATGTGCTCTGGTCTGTGTCTACCAGGAGCAACATAGCGTGCCAGGATGCTAAGAGGGTATGCTAGGTCAGGTCGAGTGCAGGTCATCAGGTACATGAGGCAGCCAACAAGCTCTGGATATGGGCCACTCGGCTCTACGGACTCATCCGAAGGCAGAGCTGAGAGCGAGTGGCGAGTAGGCAGAGGAGTGGCCTGAGGCGAGGAGTACGTGAAGTTGAATCGCTAAAGGACCTACTGCACCATGTGTGACTGAGTCAAGGTAATGGTGCGGCGTGCTCTGTCCCGGGTGATCTGCAAGCCAAGATAGCTGCGCAGCTCACCCAGGTCAGTGCACGTGTGTCTTTTCTGCAGCTCGGACTTCACGTGGGCGAGTCCAGCAGTGTCAGCAGTGGCAAAGACCAAGTCGTTGACGTACACGAGGATGTAGAACGGCGGCAAGGAGGTGTCGGTGCGCAGAAACAGCGACGGGTCGGCAGTAGAAGGAGCAAACCCAAGAGCCGCAAGTGTAGTCCTCAGTGTGTCGTGCCACTCACGCGGTGCCTGGCGGAGACCGTAAACTGGCCGCCAGAGGCTCCACTGGGTGCCAGGAGGAAAAGACCCAGTGAAGCCAGGTGGGCGGCGCAGCCAGATCTCCTCGTGCAGGCTGCCCTACAGGAAAGCAGTGCTGAAGTCAAGAGAGTGAAGCTCGTAGTCGCGCTGAGCGGCTATGTGCAGCAGCACCCAAAGAGTAGTCATCTTCGGGGTGGGAGAGAAGGTCTGAAAGTAGTCAACTCCCTGCCGCTGACTGAAGCCCCTAGCCACGTAGCGCGCCTTGAAGACAGGCGGAGAACCCGGCGGCCGCTTCACCCTGAAAATCCACATGCCACTGACGATGTTCGCCCCAGGGGGGGGAACCTCGTCAACGTAGGTGCCTGTGGACTTCCAGGAAGCCATCTCTACGTCCATGGCTGTCTGCCACTGAGAGGAATAGGGACCCTCTATCGCCTCTGCGTAAGAGCGCGGGGTCGGGATGTCTGGTGCATCCGGGTCTCCCTCAGGGGCAAGCAGCATGGCCACGAGATGGGGTAAAGCAGCAGCAAAACAGTGGAACTCCTCCTGCCTGTCCTCAAGGACGTCCGTGCCAAGAGCACACTCACCCCCGACGGACGGAGGACAGACAGACTCAGACTCAGCAACAAGACTAGCGGCGTAGTCTAGACGACAGTGAGCAGCGAAGTCGACAAGCTCAGCAACTAAGGCAGACGCAGCAGTGGACTCAAAAGAAGGGTCAGTGACAACAGTAGCCAGGAGACGCGTGACAGTAGGACTGGCAGCACGAAGAGAGTCAGACTCCGGGTCAGCAAGAGCAGGAAGAGAGGACGCAGGAGGAGACGGCAAAGGGACACGCAGTGGAAGAGTGGAAGGACGCAGTGCCATCTGGTGTGTGCCTGGGACCGCAGGAGGACGCTGACGCGGAACACGGCGACCGGTGCGAACAGCACGAACAGGCGACGCAGGACGAGACTCCGGCTCACGACGCTCAGCAAGACCTCCAGTAGGACCAGCGTAGGGAGAAGGGGCAGGCAGTGGACAGGCCAGCTGTAACTGTGACTCGGACGGGACGGACGGTGGACACTCTAAGGCAGGAGAAGGACCAGAAGAAGGCGGAAGGCCAAGAACCTGCTCAAGGAGGGGAACGAAGTACGGTCGAGGCCGCGCAGCACCTCCAGAACCAGCAGGGACAGCACCAGCACCCCCAGCATCAGCTCCGACTCGAGCAGCACCACCAGCTCCAGTAGCACCTCCAGTAGCACCAGCACCGCCAACTCCAGCAGCTCCAGGAGCACCGGCTCCAGTAGCACCTCCAGCTCCAGAACCTCCAGCTCCAGCTCCAGCAGCACCTCCAGCTCCAGAACCTCCAACAGCTCCAGCGCCAGGAGGACCACCAGAAGACGGAGCAGCACCGGCTCCTGTACCCCCAGCAGCACCTACTCCAGCAGCACCCCCAGCTCCAGCTCCTCCAGCAGGTCCAGCACCAGTAGAACCACCAGGCTCAGCAGCTCCAGTACCTCCAGTACGAGCACCTCCGGGACCCGTGGCTCCAGCACCCCCAGCAGCAGTAGAACCTCCAGCACCAGCAGCAACACCAGCTCCAGCAGCACGACTCCAACGCCGAGCAAACCACTCGCGCAGCTCCTGTGGAGAGG